CTCTGACTTTTTTCTAACAAGTTGATGTAATCTACTTGACTGTCCCTCAACCTCAACAGTAATTCCCATTTCTTAGCCTCCTGGGCTTCCCTCTCAATTACATCAGATCAGAGTGGGCAACTTCAGCTTTTATTCTGACTCCAAAACTTCTAATTTTTTCTCCTGCTACATCCTCCGATCTCCAAAAGCTGTGGTTCAATAGAAAATTAATTCTCTCACAACATAAATGTTTTTCTCAGACATGCACAAAAACTCATGGCCTAGGAAACCTGATGCATCTCAGTGATTTTATCACCAGGTTAAAGAGAAAGTTATTGTTTTCCATCAAGGAAAGAGTTCTTTAAATAAGAATTTCAAACCTTAAGACACTGTTTGACCAGGTCTTCTTCCTAATTGTAAATTACAAATCGCAGGTTATCCATACATTTAAAAAGTGAGTAAGAGACATACCAATATATTCTCATTAGTATCACAGTAGAATCCAAAATATCTTTAGTACAGACACATTAGAAGACAGTTCCTTTTCACTCAAAATTATAAAGGAGCTGAGGAATTGTTGGCAGGCCATAAATAACACTTCACTTGAAGTGCACCTTAAAAAATGTGCTAGCCAAATACATTTTATAAGTAACGCATAAAAATGGCTGAACTCCTTATTTATCCTGCTGACTATATCATAAAAGAAAAATAGGAGAAGGAGCTAAACATCTCCATTTCCTCTGACATGTGGGACAATATCTGATACAACATATGCAGAACATCCACTTCTCTGTTTTTGTATTTCTTTCAGAAGAAAATTCTAAATAGAGATTATTGGACTGCTGAGTGACTGCATAAAGTTGGACTTCTCATAGTACATGTTGGAAATGCGACAGCTCCAATGCAAACTTGTCTCATATAGTCTTTGAATGTCAAAGTATAGCCGCATTTTGGAAGGAAGTGTGTGGTGCTCTAAGGTGACCAGGGTAGAAGTTTCCCCTACGACAAGTCTCTATGTTTTGGGCATTCTAGAAGATCTACCATGTTCAAGTAATGCCAGGAAATGGATTGCTGCAGCACTTACAGTGGCCAAGAGAGTCATTTTACAAAAATAGAAATCTGCTACAATCCCCACATTCAACACCATCTTCATGGAAAAACTGACACTTGATAGAGGCACAAGATCCAACTATTAAGACAGTTAGAGTTTAAAGAGCGCATTCCAGTCTACCTGGAATCAGTTTGTGCTTCTGATTTTTTGGGGGGAGGCACAGGGGAGTTGTTAGGGAATTATTTCTTATAACACTCAGGAGTATTTATCTATGAATATTTCATACTGAGTTATTGTTAAATCCATATTCCTGTTATATTTTCTTTGTCACTGTATTTGAATATGTCTGTACGGATATGCTAAAGTTCTGAAAAATAAGATTAAAAAAAGAGAAGACTGTCCCTATCCTAAAGAGCTTATAAATTATAAGGACAACAGACATACCAGAAGGATGAAGCAAAAGGGACAGAATATACAAGCAAGGTTGTTTATTATCATGATACAGCAGATTTCCAACTGGCTCCTTTGCCTAATCTTTATTAGTTGGCTAACTCCTTGGCGGGAGTATATGGCTCTTGGGGGGAGTTGCATGAGGGTAACAGCCTTGTGGACCAGCTCAGGACAAATGTTCCATATATGGAAAAGACTTCAAAGGGGATTGTGGAATGTCAGGGAGATCACAAAGCAGGAGATAATGGCCTAAGTTTTAGCAATATGGAAAGAGAAGACTGGTTCTTGGACAACATTGTAGAACCTGCCCGGTTCTGTAGAGTCAGAGGTGAACCCCTGGTAATAGGCTATAGTAACTGGAAGAAAGACAATGTGTTAAACAATGAGAATAAAGACTGTTGGTAGCAAGACTTCCAATAGATATCCAGGAAGTTGCTAACAGCAACCGGAATGTAATTAAATTTAACATCCTTGTAGGGAGGAATATACTAAAGAAACCCACCACAGTAGCATTTAACTTCAAAAAGGAAAACTACACAAAAATGAGGAAGCTAGTTAAAATGGAAATTAAAAGGAACAGTCACAACAGTGAAATGCCTGCAAACTGCATGGAGACTATTTTAAAACACCACAATAGAGGCGCAAACTAAATGCATACCCCAAATTAAAAAAATAAAATAAAAAAAAACAGTAAGAGGACCAAAAAAATGCCACCATAGCTGAACAGTAGAGTAAAAGAGGTGTTTAGAGGCAAAAAGGCATCCTTTAAAAATTGAAAGTCAAATCCTACAGAGGAAAATATAAATGAGCATAAACTCTGGCAAATCAATTATTAGAAGGCAGGCCAAAAAAGAATTAGGAGCAACTAGCAATATTGACAAAAAACAACAGTAACATGTTTTTTTAAGTATATCAGAAACAGGAAGCTTGCCAAACAATCAGTGGGGGTCCACTGAATGACTGAGGTGCTAAAGGAACACTCAAGAAAGTCAAGGCTGTTGCAGAGATGCTAAGTCAATTCTTTGCATCTGTCCTCACTGCAGAGAATGTGAAGGAGATTCCCACACCTGAGACATTCTTTTTAGGTGAAAGACCTGAGGAAATGTCCCAGATTGAGGTGTCAATAGAGATGGCTTTGGAAAAAATAAGTAAGTTGCCCAGCTGCGGCCACTTCCCCAATCAGCCCAGTTTTTAGAGCTGCAGCCCTCTCCAGGGCAGCTTTTACCACTGCAGCCCTCTTTTAGGGCTGATTTCAAGCCCTTCAGGGCAGGAGCGGGTGTCCACTCCGCTACAATGACTTAGAAAGGCGGATGAACAGGAGAAAGCTCTGATGAACCCCCACTGAGTGGGAGAGGGAAAAATCTCCCCACCACCACCCAAAAAGATGTTTAACAGCAGAATTAGTTTGCTAGTAGTGGTGCTATCATGATAGAGAAGGGAGGACAAGATGACAAGGAGAGTTTGATCAACCATGTCAAAGTCAATGAAGAGGTCCAAGAGGACAAGAATGTCAGAGATTCTGATACACCGCTCCAAGCAAAAGAGGCAATCAGAAGCCTTAATTAATACATTTAGAATGAAACAGAGGACAGAAGCCAGAGATGAGGGTACTCAGCATGGAGTTGAAGGAACTGAACTTCAGGTAACAATTGTGGCACACATCATGAGTTTTGAAGTGAAGGGAAGAAAGGAGACAGAGCGGTGGAAGCCTATTGTACTGCATTCCAGACAATTGTCTGGCTCAGGAAAGGTGTCTGACACCTTGTTCAAGGACTACCACTGAGTTGTTTATAATAATAAATTCTACCTCTTACAGGACATGCAAGTTGAATCTCTCCTGTTAGATTAAAACGAGAACCTGCCAAGAAGAAAAGAGAAAAATCTAAAGGATCCAGAAGTGAGCTGAAGTTAATGAGCAATGGATTCAAATCGGTTCACTGTTTTATTTTCATGACAGATATGATCATGTCAAAAGTCACTAATTTAATTTTGAGTGAAGTTACAATTTAAGAACATTGAGAAAGGAGTGCTGGACCAGTGTGTGTTTGTGTCCCCGCCCAAGTAAATGAAATAGATGGTTGGATTCCCCATGTCCACAAAGAGTGAACACTGTTTATCCAAAAACATTTAGGCTCAATGTACTGTACTAGTTGCACTAGAAATGACTTTAATTGCATCCTTGATTTCACTTGTTCTACGTTTATTGGGGGGAGGAGGGGGAATATACAAATATTCACTAGCAACTTTTAGGCAAAGTGTTCTAAATATACAAAAATAAACTTAAAAACAACCAAAAATATTCCTCACTGAATATTAAGACAGATGAATGGCACAGATTTACCAATGCTAATGAGAAGGCCAAGGGTGATATAACCTCTTTTCCTTTAATTTGTGCATTTTCCATTAAATAATGTTCTCAAATTTTATTTGTTACAAACCAGATAAAGCCCTGAATATAAAAATCTAGAAAGTTTCATAAAGTTCCCAAACACTGATTTGCAACAGTCTGAGCTACTCCCTATCTATGTAACAGAATAAAATAAAACATCTGAAGAGTAGTGCTCCAAGTAAATGGAAAGGTACATGGGGAAGGGTCTCAACATTGAGGTATATAAATCATAATGAACAAAATAAATACACTAAAAGAAATGGAAGTATTTTGTAGGTGAATATGTTTGTGCCAACAACAAAGATTTCCATATCCCTATTCAGACTGGGGAATTATTCAGTTTACAGTTGGCTCACAGTCAGAATTATTTCAGTTTAGTCAGAATCCACATAAATCAAATGCAAATTTCTAGCAGTGTGACAGCAATGTGATTATACTGGTTGAAACAGAAAGATAGCTATCCCAGTTGTAACTTGGTAGCATCCATCTCAGGATATGTATCTTTCACACGTTGGAAAGTAGTAGACTTTATTTTTGTGAATTTCCACTCCATCATTCTATTTCAATTGAGTGCTTCTGAGAGTTCAGTCAGTCAACCAGTCAACTATCTAAAAATGTTGCATACTAAATAAACAAATATAGATTGAACAATTAGTGTATGAATATTCAAGCCTCCTGAATGAAGAGAAAAAAGCTGAAGCATAATATTTGATAAGGAACCACCATCTTACAGAACATTTTAATCTTCAACCAAAAGGTGAATTTTACAAACTTTGCAGCTAAAATAATAGGATCTCAAGGGAGAAAGTATCTAAGCCACCTCAGAACTACAGGAGACATTTAATCTTTGCTGAAACACAAAGGATTGTGAAGCAAGGCTCAAAACTGAAAAGAAGAAGGAAAATGGGCTCAGGATATAAAACCATAGGAAGGGGAAATCACACTGTATGGCAAAGAATTAGAAGCTGCTAAGAAGTGCGTTTAGCAGAACCAACTGAAAGACCATAAAGATGAGGTAAAGATTACAGAGGTTTGAAGAGGAGCTTGCTGTTCCACAGGGAGAAGAGCCCTAAGGATGGTTAAGAGAAAAAAACAACAGATGTGTAGAGACTGAAGATGGACTACACTTACAACAGAACGGAGCCCAACAGGAAGGCGTATCAATGGCTGCCAACAATGAAGACGGATTGATGGATTGGTAGCCTGTGCAGGACCTACATGGTTATGTTTGACCTAGGAGAGAGATGCAGAGCGACACAATGGTGAAGGCTTCGTTCTGCACAGGCTAAACTGAGGTTGCAATGACAATGATGGTAAGGGCAGCAAGGACGAGGACGACTTCATAAATATTAAACAAAATACTTAACTCACTTAAACTTGAATTAACATATCTAGGGTTTAGGCTACTGCAAAGTCTCTGATTTTCTGTATTGTGTATTGCTTTAATAAGCATCGGCATGGAAGCTTCATGCCTAGGAATGGGCTGTATTTGAACAATAATATGACAACAAAGAATGGAAATTAACAAAAGATATGGTTCAAATCTGAAGAAGTTCCTCGCTAGACAGATATGAACTCGGTATAACAGTTGAGTTATTCACACCCAATAAACTTCATAAAATGAAGACAAGTTTAACAAATGTATCCTAGATCGCTTGTTGGAAGAAAGGAGGAAGGTGATTGAAATCATATCTACTTCTTCTGGGAGAGATTAGAAGACACAAAAGGATATACCCTGTCCTCATATACGCAGCCCAAAAGTCAGGTTTTCATGTAATTTAGAAGAAAACCATATGGTACAGTTCTGATTAAAAGTGGATCAAGTCATTATTGCAGCGCAACCCAGAGTTTCCATACTGGTACATTCCTAGTGTAGAAGGATAGCAATTGGAAAGGCTTACGGGGGGTAAGGTATGCAACTTGATACATGTTCCCCTTATTCTTTTAAAGTAGGTCAATGGCAGTACTGCCATTAACATAAGTTGAAATCTCTGTTCTTTCATATCTTTGGAAGCACTAGGACTAAATGATTCAAATAGTTGCTGCTAGCACAAAGACCACAGAAGCAATAACAAAGTGACTCAAGCACAACTGTCTCTCATTTTACAGAATATGTATGTATGCAGAACAGAAGATGTAATTCCACAAGATATAGTCAATAAGCGTATATTCAATACAGTACAAAGTGTTAAACAGTTCTAATGAATTACAAAGGCCCAATGTATAATGTGATTAACTAGTTATGCAAATAGCTGCAAAATAGAAATTTACCTGTGTGTCAAGTTGATGCTTATATCCCGTATCACAAATCCATATCAATGTTGCCTTCTGCTTTTACAACTTTCCACCTGCCATTCTGCCTTTTTTGTCTATATTCATTCTGTGACTTTCCCACAAAAGGAGGGTCCAGTAAATTTCTGTGCCATACACACTGCCTTATACACTTAGGACAGAGCAAGAGGCAATCAAATAGATTCTTCCTGAATAAGAACTAAGGACAAGAACAACTGCAAACCTCACTCACTCAGAGATGAGTATACCTGGGATGTCATGGGATTTTTAGCATCTGGGCCATGGCCATAGCATCTGGGTCATGTAGAGGTTTGTAATATGCTCCTTGTCTTTAGAGCCTGATCCAAAAGTTATAACTTTAATGTGTTTTGGATCAGACCCTAGATGTTAGCAGCTCTACAGGAAAGGAGAATGTATAGCCAGCTAAAGGAAGAGGGAATTGATACAATCCAACAGCAGGATCAGACAAGATTTGTGGGGTGAGAGAAGTTTGCAGGAGCTGATGGCTGCTATGCTTCAGTTACACTACTGTGGTTTCTCATCTCTTCATGCTGAACAGGTATTGAGAGGAAAGACTACTGCTGAGTTAGGAAAATACTTCAAATGTTTATAACATATCAGAAGGACCTCAAAACTTCAGAACACCCATCAAAATACTCAAAATCTCTAATCAAATCCCGAGGAACGACTCCTGCAGTTTCTTGCAGAGCCCTCCAAAGTCAATGGACCTACATGTGGAGGCATGGGTCTGCTGATCAAGATCTCAATATCTAGTGGTTTGGCATGTCAGACCTCAGTGCCCTCCCTACACAATGGAATGCCCACTCAGACTATGAGGTTTTTCAATTCTGCAAATCTCTTGCCTATTTTGGTAATAGAGGTTTGTGTTTTCTTTCTTGAAGCTGCAAATATAGTAATTGTTTACCTAGCAACACAACAACAAAAAGCTTTAAAAATTATGGGGTAGGAATTTAGTTTTGGCTGGGTAAACACAGTTGACAGGAAATTGCCTTACAGTATGTATATTTTTGCTCTGAAAAAAATAGAGAGTAGTATTTTGATAGCATAAAAGCTGCCAAGACAACACTGGTAATGCCAACCCACATAAGGGATGCTGAATTTACATACAACTTATTAAATCTGCTAGCGTAAATCAAAAGTTTATATAAAACCATTCTTAGCCAAGTATTCCATTTAGGCAAGTTACATGACTCAATTATGACCTTCTATCTTTTTTCCTTCATTTACTATTATTTTAAAATACACCTTTTATTAAATCCTACAGTCTAAGTAAGGTAAGACTTAAGACAAAAGGAGTTTTGATTAAGGAGCAGGAATTTTTCCCTTCATCATTTATCATTCTCAGTGACTGGCACCTATTTCGAAGTGTCCCAGTTGTTCCTTTTTTTGTTTTAAGAACATTATGAATAAATTCAGGTAAGTGTTTCTGAATAGGTTTTAAGGCCAGAATGCAACATGGGAAACTATAAAGGCAAGGGAATTTTTTCTGGTCAAGCGGAAAGAATGGGGTCATGGCTCCTTTAAGGATTCCCCTTCCTTTGAGATGGTAGGGGAGGACGTCACCTGAGCTGGGGGCTGGTCAGAGGGACTCATGTAAGCCATTATCTCCCTGTGCACTAGGTAGAGGTTAATGTGCTCTCATGCCCAGATCAGCAGTTCTTACCCTCCTACCCATGGGATCAAAGTAGGACTAAATTTTTGTGGCTGGCTGTAGGCATCATATTTGTTGACTTTTCTGGAACTGGAAACTAATTTTTTTCTCACCGCCAGATTGGCTGGAGTGGTTTTTTTTTCACCCTCCCAAAGCAGCTCCAGGATCTAGCTAAGTAAGTTGGGAGGCATAGTTTGTCAGGAAGCAGGGCCTGCAGCAGAGCCAGTCTCTGGGCAACCTAGTGAGTGCAGTAGGGATGTAGTAGGCTGCCAGATTGCCTACACCCTGTGATTGATTGGAAGAATCAGGAGAGTAGCTCTTAAGCCCAGCAGCAGCAGTATAGTGGCTGCTCTAAGCATTCACCCATGGCTGTGGTAGCTCCTGTTCCCAGCCCTGCTCCTGCCTTGCCTCGCTCCAAGTTACCAGTCCTTGCCCTCAGCGTGGACTCCTACTCTAACCGCTAAGACTGCCCATGTCCCAGTCACTGACACAGTCTAAGCAGTTGCAAATTAACAGGTGGGAGGTGTCTGGTGCAGGGACTCATTCCATAGGGAATCTGGTTCCCGACAGACAGGGCCAGCCTTAGGAAGACTAGCACCCTAGGCAAACTTTTATTTTGGTGCCCTTTCTTTGTGTTTGAGAACAGCAGCGTGGGGCACAGGGTGCAAGGACCAGCTCCTGGCCCTGGAGCCCAGAAGGGCTGCACAGGGAGGAGTTTCTGAGTCCAAAGGCTCCCCGGGCCATACACCCCCTGACAACCTACCAGGAGGAGAGCAAGTGTGCAGCCCCCAGCCTTGCCCATGGAAAGGGTGGGACCTGGGGCTCTGCAGGGGCAAGCCCTCCTGCGTGTGCCTGCCCACCAGGCTATCAGCTCCGGGCAATATGGCCCATCCCCCACTCGGCTGGCCAGGGGCTCCAACCCCGGGCTTGCTCGCACTTAGTGCTTAATTTGTGCCAGGGCTTGCCGAGACTTAGCCCCAGCACATCTAGGCTTGTAGTTCATAGCCCCAGCACCTCTAGACTCTCGGCCAACAGCTGCCACCAGCAGCACAGAACTGAGAGTGACAATACCACATACCATGCCACCCTTACTTCTGCGCTGCTGCTGGCTGTGGCGCTGCCTTCAGAGCTGGGTGCCTGGCCAGCAGCCGCTGCTCTCGGGCCGCAGCACCTCTTTCATTATAAATTAAGCACTGCCTGCATTCACCCCCGCTCCAGCCGCCCCAGCCCGCCAGCTTGCAACACTTGGACAGTGAACATAAGAACGGCCGTACTGGGTCAGACCAAAGGTCCATCTAGCCCAGTATCCTGTCTACCGACCGTGGCCCAGAGGGAGTGAACCTAACAGGTAATGATCAAGTGATCTCTCTCCTGCCATCCATCTCCACCCTCTGACAAACAGAGGCTAGGGACACCATTCCTTACCCCCCAATCATGGCATCCTGAGCAATCGCCAGCATCACCCACCACTAAGGCTGGCTCTGCTGACAGACCAGATATCACAGATTTTAAGGAGCACCGCTTACTGGCCTCCCACTTCGACTACTGTAAGGGGAATCCAAGCCCCTGCCACTCTGGATCCCAGGAGTATTTCAAGCCCAGATGCTGCCCCAATCTTGGGGTCTCCAAAGCACACTCTCAGGGCTCAACCCTTCTATCTGGCATCCCCTTCCACCTGCTGGAACTCGCTGTGCAGCCATTCAGACCCTCTGGGTGCAGTGGAAGATATGAGGATGTGTGCTGTCTGAATTACTGCTGGATAATTCCCAAATGAGTTAAATTAATAAAGGTACAGTCTAATTAAAGCACATCCCGCACGTCTTGCCTTTTTTCCAGTCTGTAAGGGACAATGGACTCCTAAGGCCATATAATCACCCTTCCTGAATAACAGTCCATAGAATTTCACTAAGTAATTCATCCTTAATGCCAAACAGTCTGTGCATCTTTGAGAAAGATATGTACCTAATCTTGATTTAAAGACAACAAGTGATAGAGAATTACCTTATCCCCTGGTAAACTGTTACTCAATTTACATTTTATTTCCAGTTTCATTTTTTTCTAATTTCAATTTCCAGCCACTAGATCTTGTTATGCATTTGTCTGCTATATTAAAGAGCCCTCTAGTATGAGATCTCTTCTCCTTGTATTCGGACTTCATTATCATGATCAACTTGCCTCTTGAATTTCTTTGACTTATCAAAGAAAAGTTTAAGGGTTTTGGTTTTTTAATAGTAATTAGACAAGAGTGATGTCCGGACTACTAGGTATTAGGAAATCCATAGAAGGCAGATTGCCAGTATTTGATTAAGAAGATTACTTTCTGCAGTCACTTAATTCAATGCATAAGTATCTTTTAAAATATTTGTACAAGGTCTGATATTTTTAAATTCCATCTACTATTTAAATGATCTGAGCACTCTATTGTTTAACATAAAGAGCCAATACAGATTATTTTGACTGTTGCTATTCCAGAACACCTTTATATTTAGAGATTATGCATATTTATTAAGGATTCGATTAAGTACGACATTTCCATTTTAATTGGAGACTTGGAAACCACAAACACAGCTTTAGATGGTATCCTCTACCAAGGCCAATAATAGCAATCAGCAAGCATAAGGGAAAAGGGAGACTCTTGGGCTATGAAATTACACAAGATGAAAGGATTTGTAGTTGAAGTACCTTACTGCAAAATGCTGAAAATTCTAGAGGGTTAAAATCTTTCACGAAACTACAAATTAAAATGACAAAAAAAGCTGGCGTACTTATTATCTGTGGCAAACAAACTCCAGAATTATCACAGGAACTGATATCATCTATGTTATAGCACGGATGAGAAATTTGGAATAAAAGTTTAATTTTAATTTCAGATTGTGTATATATAGACTTATTGAATTAGTATGAATGTTAATATAGGAACACACTGTAAAATGTTTCAAACATAATACTACCACCTAAATGTCAACAAGATTTATATTAAGTTGCCTCCAACTTTACTAACACAAAAGTCAGAATAAGGTTTTTATTCCCAAAAGGAAAATTCACTTAAATGCTGATGATCATATTTGAGAAGTAAAACGTAAGAATTATACTAGAATAATAATAATACGACGCACAATAAATATGACGTATACAATGAAATGCAAGTTCTCTGAAGGACAGATGCTTCATATGATTCCACAATATTGCTGGGAAGAAGATTTGTTAGCTGACCTGTGCTCTATCTGCTTACTGGACAGCTGCTAGTACCGGCAGAAGGAAATATTACAGGTTGTTACTTAAGAATAGCAGATTTAAAATCCAACATCTCTACAATTTAGAAGGCATCCCTCCAACAAGTGAAGTTTTTGGCCTGAATTACTTACAGGCTCTGTAACTGTTAAACATTTTTTTTTTTTTACAGTGTATTTCCCTGCAATTTACAATCCAATCCATAATTGAGGTAAGCATATTTTGAAAAGCGCCTGAGAGTACTATTTAGCCAGACAAATGGCCTCAGACATAGGGCCTTGAAAATAAGTAGTGTCCAGATTAAAGTCCTAAATACCTTTCCATTTTTAATTCACCTCCATTGTAAACTTTGTTAAAAGTTATTTCAGTCAAATCAATCTGGAATCCTCCTGAAGTGGCTGAGGTTCTATGGCAGGAGTGGGCAAAATTCCTGGCCCGAGAGCCACATCTGGGAATAGAAATTGTATGGCGGGCCATGAATGCTCACAAAATTGGGGCTGGCTGTGGGAGGGGGTTAGGACTCTGGTTGGGAGTGCAGGCTCCAGGGTGGGACCAGACATGACGAGTTCAGGGTGCGGGAGGGGGCGCTGGGATGGCTGAGTGGGGTGCTAGCTCAATACTAGCATATTTTTATTACAATAATGAATAGTTACTTGTATTCCTTCCAGTACTGCAACTGGGAGTATCAGAGTTGAACCGGACATCTTTCTCTCTCTCTCTCTCAAATACTCCACTGTGATGCAAGGGACAGTGGAACACAATGAATCAGAGTTTGAGTGAAAGTAATTGTAAATATATTTCTTGTATTCTGGATAGTTGGAGAGAGAAGATGTATACCCAACCTTTCAGTAAAAATGTAAGATAGAAAGTGAAAAAAGAATTTATATCTAAGAATACTTTGGTCATGCTATACAATGTTTAAAATTTCCTTTCCTTTACAGAGAATATTTTGGAGTATTAAAACTTGTAAAAAACACTATTATGACCCATAGTTATAATGGCAGCAATAGTATCACTGGAACCTTGGAGAAGCTGCAAAAACCATTCCTTAAGGAGGTCACATGGGTTCCTGGCCAAAAAAACCACCAACATGGGCTATATGTCAAAATACACAAAATACCATTATACGCTCCATGGAAAAAGATAATGGCAAGCTCCTTCATGTTATTTCTCAACCAATAAATCATAATGACCCAGGAAACCAAAGATCTTGGAAAGCCTAAATTTTACAACGGTTGAAAACAGAACGTCTTCACTCTTCAGTTTACCATTGCCAAGGCTAACCACAGTGATCACAATTGAAGCCTGAGCATGTTAAATTCCAAGCAAGTTTACAGTTCTGATGGCATGCTAAACAACTTCTTATAGCCTAGGGTTTGCAGTCATGGTTCAAGATAAGGAAGAAGTCCAGCTGAACTACGATTCCAACTTACGGGTTTTCAAGAGACTTCAGAGTTACTACAACTCCAATCTCTCTAAAAAAATATCAGTCCTAGTCACAATGCTGAATCCATAAGTGAACTGTGAATTTGAGACCAATTCTCTCAATTTACGAGAAACTAAAAGCAGCAGTTCATTTTGATTTTCCAAAATTAAATTTCTCATTGCCAGAATTGTTTGTCAAGTTTCAATGGAAATAATAAGTTATGTGTTGCCACTAGAAGGGGTGGCAGTTATACTGCTACACAGTAACCAGGGTACAACAATTCAAGAATTACTCAGTTCAAGGGTCTCATCTTTCTTAGACAAACATGCACAGCTGTAGTTGAAGCGGTCACCTGGTAGCCAGAAGTAGGAAGCATACAAGAAAACCAGAAGTGGTACAATGTCAAACAGTAGGAGATTATTTCTGTACTTCCATAACAGATGGTATACTAGGGTATATTTTCCCACTGTCATCGTCTTCTCTTTTCCTCCTCGCCTTAGTTTCACTGATATGGGGCTGGCTCTGAATCCTTTTCCATTCCAGTTTTTCTTGAAGCAGTTTGTCAGAAACTTTGCAGCTAATCAAATCCTTTTGTATAACATCCATCTATCCAGTTTGGGTCCTCCAGCCCTTTTCCTACCCTCTAGTTCTAAGATTAACATCCTGTTTCCTATATATTCTTCTGATCTTCTTTTCACATGCCCAAACCACGTAAGTCTGGATTCCCTCAGCTTTTCTATAATTGGTATCATCTTCACACTTCCCCTAATTCGTTTGTTCCTAACATGGTTTATCCTTGTATCTCCAAGCATCCACCTTAACCTTTTCATTTCCACTGTATTCAAGATTTGCTCCTGCCTCTTCATCAGTGCCCAGCGTTTGGAGCTATACAAAAGTACAAACCTAATTACCATCCTGTAGATCTTATTTTTCAATTTGATAGGCATTCTATTAAAGATGATTTCGCTCATTTCTCTCCATTTAGTACATGCCTCTCTGCTTATTAGTTTGTTGTTGGGTTCAGCTGTACTATCAAAACTAGGTACTTGAGCTTCGTAACTTTGATAGTGGCTGCCCCTCCAGACTTTCAGTGATCCCTTGCAGGAAGACAACAAAGCTGTATCTACAAACCATATACTCTGTTCTATTTCTGATTTTCAGGTCATTTCTCTCAAGTACACACCTCCATATCTTTAAATCTTCTTCCCCTTCCTCTTTGCTCTCCCCCATGAGCACATCAATCTGCAAAAAGCATACACTAGGGTGCCACTCTCTGGATGTTTTCTGTAAGTGCAGCAAGCATCAATGTGAACAAAAAGGGGCTTAGTGCAGAGCCCTGATGTACTTGATTACTAGATCAGGGGTCTCAAACTCAGATGACCCCGAGGGCCGCATGAGGACTAGTGCATTGGCCCGAGGGCCGCATCACTGCCCCCCCCCCCCCGCTGCCTCTGGCCCCGCCCCCACTCCACGCCTTCCAATTAGGCCCTGCCCCTGTCCCACCCCTTCCCTGAAGTCCCCACCCCAACGCTGCCCCCAGGGGGTGCAGAAAGGGTGCAGCGGGGGCTGAGGGCAGGGAGTTGAGGTGCAGGAGGTGTGCAGGGTGCTCAGGGCAGGGAGTTGGTGTGTGGGGTACAAGAGGAATGTGGCAGGGGGTCAGGGTGCAGCAGGTGGCTCAGGGCAGGAAGTGCAGGAGGGGTGCGGGATGCGACAGGGGGCTCAGGGCAGGCAGTTGGGGGTGGCAGGAGGGGTGTGGGATGTGGCAGGGGGCTCAGGGCAGGGAGTTGGGGGTGCAGGATGTGACAGGGTGCTCAGGGCAGGGAGTTGGGGGTGCAGGAGGGGTTCAGGGTGTGAGCTCCAGCCTGGTGGCGCTTACCTAGAGTGGCTCCGGGGTGGCAGTGGCGCTTACTGGTGCCAGGGCAGGCTCCCTGCCTGCCTTGGTCCTGGCTCCATGCTGCTCCGTTCCAGGAAGCAGCTGGAACTGTGTCCCTGCAGCCCCTGGGGATGGGGGAGGGGCTCAGGCTTCCCTGCTTATGTGGCTCTTGCCGCTCTTCTAGGTACCTCCAACGAAGCTCCCATTGGCCACGGTTCCCTGTTTCCAGCCAATGGGAGCTGTGGGTGGCGGTACCTGGCAGGAGGCAATGCCGGAACCCTCTGCCTCCTTCCCCCTCCCGCCGGCCCGAAGGGGCGTGCTGCCAGCTGCTTCAGAGACCAGCATCAGGAGGCAATCCCACGGGTAGGCAGAGGGGCGGGGGGGGGGGGGCGAGGAGCTTGGCGGACCACACACAAGAGCCCCGCGGGCTGCGTGTTTGAGACCCCTGGTGTAGACTCTACCTGGGCTGAAGGGAGGGTTTCTGGCAGAAATCATTCACTTCCCTCAGAGGCAGTAGCTAGGTTGGTGGAAGAATTCTTCCATTGATCTCACACTGTCTACACAGGCGGTTAGGTCAGCTTAACTACTTCACTCGGGTGTGTGGATTTTGCATGTGCCTGAGTGATGTAGCTGAGTTGACCTAACTTTTTAGTGTAGACAAAGCCTTACAGCATTCTCCCTTCCCCTCCCTCCCCTCTGAGCCTTCACAGGAGACCTTACTCACTCTCAGTCATTTGCTACCTACACTACAAGTCCCATGAACTGAGAGCAAAACCAGGCATAGGTGGCAGCATGGCCTGAGCGCCCCTTAAAAGGACTAGCCCACCCTGGGACACCAGAGCAGCTTGATTTTTTTTTTTTCATTTTCCATTTTTAAGTTGCACTATGTACAGAACTAAATTTCATAGTACATTACAGCACAGTGTTCATATATACAGTATTTACCCTCATTTGTACCCTTCATCTTTTTGGCTTATGCAGCATATGATAAATCAGAGCCAAGTATATGCAATGATAGCAGTGCATGGGTTCAGAATCCTCTCAGTACTTAATTCCTGTCCCTTGGGCTGGGGGGCGGAGAGAGGGGGGAAACATGATAGAGGTGACCATCTTCAATCACTCAGGGAAGAGGCTATTTCTACTGCATTTCTTTACTTGCCAAACCATGTAACCACTCTTATCCATTTGAAGTAAAGTGCTATACTGAAAGCCTGCTGACAGACAGGAACATTACTACTGAAGATCAGGCAAACCAATAAAAAGGTAAATAGGAACATGCATGGCCTGTTTTAGTAAAGGGTGATGGAAACACTTTGCATAGAGATTATGGGGACTTAATTTGATTAAAACTTCAACAGTACTCACTGTATTAGAGCATTTAATTAATTTACTGGAAGGTTAGCTTCAACAGTGCCATTTTACAGAAACTTAACCTGAAAGTCAGAATGTCTGAAATGAGCAAGAGATCCAATGTATATGTTGAACAATGAGTTAACTCTTATTTAATGAAGAGTAATGGAAATAATCCTACAAGTAATCCTGATAAAGCCACTGAAAGTTAGAGACATTCTGTACCAGTTTTTGACAAAATAGCAGTACCTCAAACCTTTTTTTCAATACTCCTGTGTTTTTATTTATTTACTATTAAAATGGAACTTGAGAACTACTTACCTATCAACTGGAAACGGAGACAATGACTTATCTCACAGACGTGTTGTTGGGCTGAATTCATTAGAACTTTGAAATCATCTGATAAAAGGCAAAGTAGTAGTATTGTGATTGATAACTGCTCTAATTTCAGAGATTACACTATTGTTGTGCCTCAGAATTGAGAATGGCTTAATATTTGATTAAAAATACATTTTGATCCCATAGGAGAGAAAAAGAACTAAGGTTGAGAACAGGAGTACTTGTGGCACCTTAGAGACTAACAAATTTGTTAGTCTCTAAGGTGCCACAAGTACTCCTGTTCTTTTTGCGGATACAGACTAACACGGTTGCTACTCTGAAACCTAAGGTTATTGACAGTCTGTTCTTCTCTAACTCCTGTTTGTTGCATTTGTGCATAATTGCCAGTGTATTGTTTCTACATTAAACTTAATTAAAAATGCACCTAAAATAAATATCTACATTCTATGTGAAGAAGTGTGTAGAGAATTAAAGAGATGTTCCTGTTATCACAAATCTACCTAAAATTATTCTGTGCTTCTATTTCCCCACCAATAAAACAGGGTTATTCTAACTTACCCATTCTGTGCTTGTGAGTTAAAGGTTAGTGCATGCTTGTCTTGTGTTTTATGTTTTCAAAATGCTATTCTTAGTTTACTCTTGCAGCGTGGAGGATCACACAGCAACATGGTCCAGGGAAGAGCAAGCCTCTCTCTCTGCTTACCACAAAGCCTAAGGGGGAGCATGCAATTCTTGGGATACATACATAGAGAAGAAATGGGAAGTAGGATGCTTGTCAAACATTTTCTGCAGGTTTGAGTAGAAAGCTATGGCTTCAGCCCACACACTCGTTGGTAGCCAGCACAGTCCTTGCTGTTCTCCAGTGCCAGGAGTCAGGCTGTTGTTGTGTCTGGCTCCTATGCAGGAGGGCAGGTGGAGAAGCTCACAGGACCAAGCCCCATATATATTTTTTAAATGCTTTTAGAAGTACTATACACAGGGTGTACTGCATTTGTATACACTAATTTCTTTTACCCTCCATGCCCAAAACATCATATTAAAATCTCAAAGAGAAAGAATATCTATTTCAGTAATTTACAAATTACGAACCATGCTTTAAAAATGTTTGACATCAACTAGTCATACATGCTTACATCTTAGTTTAGGCATCTTTAAGCCTTTGTTTAGGCATATGGGCAGCCCCAAATGTAAAACTCTCCCATGAACCTCTATGAGGAAAGTTTAGGTTGTGACTTAAAGCTACAGACTGTGGAAGGAGACAGGATAGAGCACTACCTCAGTGGGTGTTCCTATCCCTTAATCCAGCCCTGGCATTTACCTCACCATAACCTTAGACTAGAACCATCCCCTCTAGCCCCTCCCTCTGTTTTCTCCACGGATAAATTAGTACTCTTTATGCTGCTCTGGAGCAGTCCTTGTGTTACCAAAGCAAGGACTGGGAACATGTTTGGTCCTTGCTAGCAAAGAAGTGTATGTTTGGTGAGAGAGGCTGTCCCCTGCCTCTGCTCTGCATCTATACACAATCGAGCCCTACGGAGGAGACTCAAGGTGGTGAACTAGTGAGATATGCCTGATGCCACTAATATTTAGGAATCACAGATGCAAAGTACAAACCGTAAAATAGTTGATGGACACCAGGAATTAAGTTTTCTTTTTGTGAGACAAACTACAATCATTTAAGCACTAGTGCCAAGGAGTTAAAATACATTCTGAAGAAATAACTCACACCTTTCTTGGTAAAACTTCTGTGCACACAATATATAAGTACAGATAAGGCAGAATCTTACAGTGAACAAAAATACGAACTATCATATCGAAAACCCTGAACTACAAAGTTTTGAAATCCTTGTATTAGATGAACTAATGCTTGTCTCAGTCTCTCTGCCTACTTTCTCATCACAGAATTTACATAATCCAGTTTCAAACTACATTACACAGATAATGTCTCTGGAGATGATTTACAGAGTATTTTGTAGTTCTCTTATATAGCTCTCAGAATTCCTGTTATTACCTAGGCATTTCAGGCACTTTGTGAAAGACAGAA